GTTTGATGCTGTTGTTGAAGCCTGCCTGCCGATTTGCCTGCGTTGTGGTTGCCTACCTTCGAGTGCCTGCGTTGCTAGCTGTTTGCCCTCCTGCCTTCCTCGCTGCTGCCTGCCTCATTGCCTCGCTGATGGCCTTCTGGTCTGCTCGCCCGACCGCCGTCCCACACACGTCCGTCACCTGCGGCCTTGTCACCTTGCTGCCTGCCTTGCCCATCTGCTTGCCCGGCCACCGTCACACACACGCCTGGCTGCTTGCCCACTGCCTTGTTACCTTGCTGCCTGCCTTGCTATCTTCTCACCCACTCCCTCATTTCGTTGCTTCCCGCCTTGGCGTCTGCTCGCCTGGCCATCCTGGCTTTTGTTGCCATTGCCCATTTGCAGCTTGTGATGAAGGCAGATTATGACATCGAGCATCTTTAGGGGATTCTGCAGACTCTCAGATGTTCAGGGAAAGACTGACGTTCAGCTCGGGTTTTGTGATTTGCCATGCAAGCTGACACAATATCTTTCATGGAGGACTATTGTTATGGCATTTGGGCCCTTTTGAGGTCTGTTTTCATTTTGAGGTACGCGTTAGATTGGCGTGCTCCATTTCAGCGCCTGATGTACACACAAAACACATACGTTTACGCCATGTCATCTGCCCACCATCACCTCTCTGTTAACTTCTTCTGCTAAAAAACAAAGTGAAAGCTGTGCTGATTCTGCTGAACCCAAAAAAAGAAAAAAGAAAAAAAAGAAAAAAAGAAAAAGCTGGACAAATTTTCCATTAGTGCATGTCATTGTCGTGCACGGACCATGACGCTAAATCTCTTCTTAATGTTCTCATTCATTATCATTCCAACAACTGTAATGAACACATAGGACTGTTTCTGATTTCTCCATTTGTCCTTGCTTGATTGCTCGACTTTCCTCCCTCTGTCTGGCGACTCTGGTCTGTCTGGTGACTCTGGTGTTTGCTTCTCTCTCAGTTTGGGAGGCACTGGAATTGTGAAATCTGCCTGAATTGTATGTGATCTTGTTTTTCATTGTCATGCATTCTTTTACATTTCCTGTTGGTTTCATTTGTGTGCAGACGGGCGATCAGAACCTTCCCCGGTCACAAGGGTGCTGTCACGGGACTCGCTGTATCGACTGATGGGGAGCACTTTCTCTCCTGTGGCAATGACTGCACGTATGTGCGCAACACCTCCCTTGTTAGGTTTCTAAGTTTTTTATTATCATTATTATTGTTGTTATTTCACATTCTTAATTGTGAAATTGGAGTGAGTTTTTTACATCATTCAATATGTTCGAGGATTAGCCTTCAGTCATATTTCCTACACCTCGCTTTTACTCGAGTGAATTGGAGCGGGTACCTCTTTGTGCATTCTTTAGAGTCATCAAACAGTGTCCTGCTGTCTGTGCCACTCTGCTGCTCATGACATGTGCTGTGTTAAGAGGCAGAAGTTAAATTTTGCCAATATAATGAAATATTGTTATTGCTTGTTTGTTTTTTTCCATTTTTTTTTTTGCGATCATTCCTTGTTGTCAAGTGTTTTTTGCCGTTGAGTGCATTTGTTGTGAGAATTATTGTTATTATTAATTATTTTTTTAACTTTGAAGGTTTAAGCGCTGACGATGTTTGTCGTTAATGATGTTACATCTGTGTGTTGCCCTTTGTTGAGGGAAATGTGTCTGCTGCCACGTGCTTGGGAGGTCCTTTTTAACTGCGGCTGTTTTCTTTCCAAGTCTCAGTCTGGCTGAAGAGGTTATGATAGTTGTAGTGTCTTTTTTCGAAGAGGCTATGGTTGTTGTAGCGTCTTTTTTTGAAGCGGCTATGGTTGTTGTAGCGTCTTTTTCTCCTGTGATGCTTGGGAGGTCCTTCTTAAGTGCAGCTTCACACCAATTTTCTCCTCATGGTTGTCTTGAACTGGAAAAAAAGGTCGACTTCTGTCTGTCGCCGATGCTGCTCCTCATGGTATGTGTGGAACATGATGAGGCTGTTGTTTCAGGAGACCCCAAGTTGGGGAGTGTAGCCGAGTACTTGATCGTTTGTTGGCTCGACTTCCGTCTCTGATGCTGCTCCTCGTCTTCCATCTACCCACCACCCGCTCGCTCGTTTGCTATTGTGATTGGGGATGGGCATGATTAACTCTAATCCCATTCAGATAGAATTAGTTCAGATGGGATTCGAATGGGTTCGCACAACTTCGCAGTGGATTAGATCGGAAATGGCTTTTTTCATTTCAATCAGCTTTTCATTCGAATGGTCGGGTTCGTTTCTGTTTGTGGTTGTTATGTTAGTTGAACTGATAAAGATTGCTGGATTGCTTTCCTGGCTTAGCGAGTAATTCGTGGTGATGTGGAGTCGTAAACACATTGAAAGGGCCTTTTTCACCCAATGTAGGCCTCAGGCCTTGTAACTAAGCAACGTGGACCATGTAAAAGTAAAGCAGCCTGAAAAGGTATCTCGCCAGGGCTCAGAAACGTGAAAAGCAGGTCAAGAGTCCAAGTTCTYTACCAACGGGCACATCCTGAAGCAAAGGGCATTGTCAAAAGACTTACCTGTTCGCCAGCAGTTGTGTAGGTCATGAATAAGGTGTGTCTGTACGAGAAGCCATTGTGCCTGTTCGTGTAAAGAAGAGAAGTTGTGTCTGTATATGCAATGCTGATGTCTGTTCGGACAGTAAGTGTGTCTGTTCGTCTAGATGTGACTATTCAAAAGGAAGTCAACAGTTATGTCCCAGTTTTTGGTCTGAGTCAT